ATATATATTTAAGCAATTCGCACAGTGTAAATCAAAGTTAATGTAATGACAAATGGTCACTTGCACTGATGTTAAAAAAAAAGTTTTTCATGAATTTCTTGAAGTTATTTTGTTGAAAAAACTATAGAAAATTAACATTTAGAAAATTAATTCTGATGGAGGGAGTTCATTTTTTTTTTTTTATTTATAACTGAACTTTTTTGATCTTGATTTAAAGTAGGTAACATATCATCCAAGGGCTCATCTAATTGGTCAGATATAAATCTTGTGCTTCTAGACCTCAATGACTGATAGGAAATTATCTAACTTTTGGGACAATATAGTCTGATAAAGAGTAAATTTATGTACATTTTTAATCCAGAAAGATTTGAAATTTAAATGTGATTTCCTAACAACTTTAAATAATAAATAGAATATTTTTCCATTTTAAAATTCTGAAGTGTTTTTTTGAAGTGGAGAACAACAATCGACAATTGTTCCTGATACAAATATTGTATAAAACACCTGAACTTAGTGTTTTTTTTTTTTTCTTTTTTACGTCTTAATGAGAGCAGTGGGCTCTATGCTGCCCTGCAAGGCTTTAAACCTGGGTTTGAATGGAGACAAAGCCATTCTAAAGCGCATATCAAGGTGCTCATTTGGAGCCTGGATCCATATTTATTTCTGATTCTGTTCATGGTGGAGAATCCTGCTTCACAGCAGCAGGTTGAGCCAAACATACTCAAAATGCGCAGGGTCATCTTTGAGAATCCCATTTCACTTTTCTTTTACCAGTTCACAGCAGTTATTCCAGCAGTCCACACCTTCTTTGCTTTTTTCCTCATCGTCTTCTCCTTCTTTCCCATCACCCGGCTTGCCATAGGTTTGCCTGCTGTGTCTAAAAGTAGCAGCAGCAGCAACCCAGACTGACAGCAGCTAATTGGCTGATTTTTATCACGTGTAGCCTGGTCCTGGAAACTCTGGAGGGCTTTACCGTATAAACAGGAGAAGAGGTGCAAGCGAAATTAGACAAAGTCGTTGGACAACATGCAGTAATTTATAAATGTTTTAAATCAGGTTGAGTCCGGATTAGCCAGCAGGTGGGTCTAGATCTGGACCCTGATCCGCTAATCTGTGACCTCTGCTGTAGAGGTTCATAAAGAGGAAGTTTATGGGTAATAACGCCGTTCAAAGTGGAAATTAAGTCCACAGACGGCATTCTGAGGTAGATGGTGTCAGAGCAGTAGGGCAGCTGTTAATACAGTTCCCTCTGCTGAACTATTTGCTCTTCCTGCTTATCACCACCAACATTAATTCACTGAGCAGGAGGGTGAGGCGTTCAAAACACGATGGGCGCGGGGGGTAAAGGTAACCAGGCCATCTGTGGCCTCACATCCACAATGTCTTTCCATCACCCACTAATCTTTGTCGTAGCAACGGAGTCATAGCAGCCGGCACTTTAGCTCTGTATCTGAGCCGCTTCAATGCAGTCATGTGATGGAAAGATAAAAAAACATGTGATTTGATTTTTTTTTTTCCTTTTTTTGTTTTTTTAAGAGAGAAGCAAAAATCAGAATAAGAAAAAAAAGTTCCATTGTTCTTTTTTTACACTTTTTCATCGTAAAGCTTTTTAGAAGGTTTTTGTTTCACTTGTAATCAATGTTTTTCAGTAAGATAAAATGAAATATTGAAGGCATCTTGTGATCTTATGACAAAGGTGTCAAAAAGCAACCAAAAACAACAACGGTTTTGGTCAAAATCTCCATTCCAGGCTCTTGAAGATCTCTATTTATTGATTAGACAGAAAACTAGTTAGTCCACCCCTAAATTAGTCCAAGATTTTCAGCTTCAATAGGAAATACTTTCCTCAAACTAGTTAAAACTTTTTTTTATGTTTGCCTTTTTCCAGTTTACCTATTTGTGGGTCTGATGATGATGTACCTCCTACTGCGGACCTTCCACAAGATGGCCGACGTGCACGGCCTGACCACCCTCCTCCAGCTGCCGCGCTGCGAGGAGTCCGTCCTGGAAGAGGACACGGAGCCCATCGTCAACAACGGCCCATCTCCTCGTCTAAAAGACAAGCCAGCCTCCAAACCTCTGGATCCGGGATCCCAGCCGTCCTACAACTCCATCAACAAAGGCTGAGCCAGCGCAGGAAGGAGCGAGAAAGCGTTCACCTCTAGAGATCTTTCAGGATCGATGGGCTGTACCTGAAATCTCTTAATTTGTCATAAAGCACAAAAAAAACGCAAGGGATTAAAGAATTGAGGTGAGGCTTAAGATTCTGCCTTTGTTGGAGGATATGAAGTTTTCAAGCTGAACTCTGAACAGAAAAACTCTGCAGAAGGCTGCACCGGTTAAAATGCACAGAATGTTGTTTTTACCTCAACACTGACATGAATCTGGTTTGTTTACGGTCTTTAAAACAGAAACACAGGGAGTTTAGTCAACAGTTTTTTTTTTTAAAATCTCTTCGGTCTATTGTGCATTATCCTTATTGTTTGGGCCACAGGTTTCTAATACTCGATGTTTTTTTTTAACAGAATAGCAGTTTGCTGACCACATAGATTCTCTCATTGCCAGTTGTTGTCATCCTTTGGCTTTTGAAGTTTTTGAATAAATGTCAAAGCCCTGACTCTAAGGTTGGGGAAATGACTGTTACTGGATCACATTTCCTGACAAATTGGTTGCTTGGAAGAGTGCATAAAACCCCAGGAGGGCACTGTTGGTGTCTGGTCGTTTGCTGCCCTCTAGTGGCTTAAAATGATAATGGATGTGTAGCGTATATATCCTCTAACAATGGGCCAAATGGTTTCATTATAGTAAATTTTAAATTGAGTGTGTTGGTCATAAGACTTATTAGTAGATGTCAAACACAGCCTTGACTGGACCTGTGAGATTCAATTAGGAGGAATACTTGAAATAAACTAACTAATTGGGAAAGGTTATAGTTGTAGGGTGGAAATTATGACCATGTTGCTTTGTGTGTGTTTGTGCTGTACTTTGTAACAATAATTTCATTTGATTGTCTTGCTTAAATAAAAGTTTTTGCTTGTGAAGTTGCCCCCCTGTCCTGTCATCTACATTTTAACATGAAACCAGCCAACTTGGAATACAGAACCATTAAAAGAATAATGGATAGATGATGCATCTTTAAATGTGAAGATTTTTTTTCTTGTTTTTTCCCCCCACAAACATCCCATAGTGAAAAAAAAAATGTAATCCGCCTTTTACAGAAGTACTTTTGCTAATGACTTATTCCCCCATAGTAGACAATGAAAAAAATAAGTTTTTCATCATAATTTGGACTACATTTTCTTTTTTTTTATATGTATAAAAAAAAATGGAATCTTCCTTGGAAAGTTAAATTGCTGAATTGAGATATGGGGTCTAGCAAAACAAATTTTTAAAAATGTTATGAATTTAAAAAAAATAAATGATAAATCTGCATCTGCCCTGGTTCTTTATCTGCTCGTACCATATCTATTGCTGGCATCATGTGACTAGTGCAGATGGGTCCGAAACTTGTAGTGCCATTCCCTGATTTGCCTCTCATAGAGCCGCAGCTTCTGCCTGAGACTTGGCCTGCTTCAGCAAATCCAAACATTTTCAATCTGTTTTTGAGCCGTTGCTATTTTTGTAAATTCAAAATAAATTGGCAACCATTATAACAGTACATACTCTGCAATTTCATTGATTTCTTAGCTGGACTCAAGTTGTATTAAATGCAGGTGGCATTCAGCAGACACTTAAGAGATTCACCGTAACATAGTTGGTTGCAATCCCTTTAATCTTCAGCCCTTATTTTCACATGGAGGAAGTCATAAATTACAAGATACAAAATCTAAAAGTGTTTAGTTTATTTGAATGAGACAAACTTGTCATTAGATTAGTTACCAATTAAAAACCAAAATGCAGTTGAATGTCAGACTATGTATACAGTGAGTTAGTAAAATATTCTATATTTGTTTGTTCTTTAATGTTCTCAAACCTAAAGTCCTCAATAGCTGAATTTATACTGGGATACTAAGACATTCTCTACACTACAGAGTACGTTTCCTTCTAGGGTTAACACTATAGACTCTACAATGTTAACCCTTGAAGGAGAGGCACTTTATTTTGGGCAGTCAGATTAAAGACTGCCTGATACAAATGACTGATTTCAGGTTTTTATTAAAGAAACTTAAGGCTTTTATAATTATCATTCTGGTTAATAATTATGAAGCTGCAAATTAGGCTTTATAAACATTTGATATGAATACTTTTCATATCAATTTTCATAAAATTCAAGGCAATACGTTGATGGTGAGGATTCTCAATTTAAAAATACTTTTAAATTGAGAAAGCTTCCTGGATGTGAAACGTCTTCAAATTTCGAAAACCAAGTCCAGTGGTTTAACTTTTTAACCTTTTTTGGAACAATATATTGATGGTTGTGGTTCTATTGCAGGTCTGATATAGCATCTTCACAAAATTGTTAATTTCTACATCTAATTGAAATTCTCATCTCGGAGAAATTTACCTCTGCATTTAACCCATCCTCCTGGGGAGCAGTGGGCAGTGTCATCATGGCGCCCCAGGGAAGCAATCAGGGTTTAACGCTCAGAGCCAGAGTGGACGTCTGTGGGAGTGGGGTTCAAACTCAGAACCTCAGGATTCTAAGCTCTATGCCCTAATCACTAGGCCGCACTCCTAGTCAATAAGACTATTACAATAATGTAATAATCCTTTAAAAAATATTAACCTTTCTTAACCTGCTGCAAAAGCATGACTCAAGATCAGCAGACTGATGGAGGCAAAGCAGGACTAGATATTTGGTCGGCTCCATCACTGAGGTCACACTAGTCCTAAGAGTAAATGTTTCATTATAAAACACAATCTAAATTAGTGCATCATCAAGCCATAAAATGTATTTTACAAGCTTCTTTTAAATCGACCCTTTCCGAAGCACCTGTAATAAAGAATACCCTTAGTCGCTTCCAACTGCAGCATATTTCAAAACCACATGATTTCCATTCTCCTTTTTTATTGAGAGGATCCACACAGGTTAACATCCATTTCTACAGCTAACGGGATAAATGCACAGTATTAAAAACAAAGTAAATAAAACTACTGCCATGGCACTTCATTGATACATTAGTGATTTGTCTATATGGTTCAACATTAAATAAAACTTGTTTACATTACAAACTGATTATAAATAGTTTGAGGCTGCAGGGCAGCAAATTACAAAGAACCTCTGCATAGAAGCAACGTTAATCCATAAACGGGATACAGGTTACAAAAAAAATAAAATAAAAAGACGCATCAGAAGTTAATCAAGTGCATCCTCAAACGATTTACCTTGACAATGCATGATTAAATGCTAAATAAAGTTAAAATAAAACAGAAGGCATGAAAAGTTTTACAATAGAAAAAAATAAAACTGCAATTGAATGGACCTTTTGTTATTTTGTCTTTTGACTAATACAAATACTAACATGGTAGAGGCAAATACAGTCACTGAAAAAGTGCAAAAGTTTTTGTTTTGTTCCAGGAAACCATATAAAAGCATACGTTAAAACCAACAAACAGTTGTCAGGAGGGAAGGTAGCACCACTGGGATAGGGAGAGCCAATATGGCCGAAACCTTCGATGTTAAACACCGACCGATCAGTCCAAGACGAGCTGCTGCAACAGCCAGGCTACTGAGGAAATCCTGTATAAAATAACAGTGCAGCAATTATTTTTTTTCTGTACAAGTGTTTAAAAAAAAAAAAAGGAACATGTGCATAGAGCTCTTCAGAACAACCTGCAACTTCCTTCACACACTCAAAAGAATCAAGTAGAACTTCATCACCAAGAGTAACATTTGACATGTTTTTCATTTAACAGCTGACCAACATACTCTGCCAAAAAAACAAAAACAATCCAAAGCACCCCTTCCTGACTTTACATGAGTCATAATGATGTAAACTGGTTTCTTCACAGAAGATCTGACCCATAATGATGTTAGTGTTTCTGCCATTTCACATGACCAGAACTGACATGACCTTGGTTGAATAAACCTTCCCTAATGTTCAAAAGTAACAGGCGCCATCTTCTGGTCTGGTCGCAGTACTGCTTAATAAACGTTCCCTTTGACTGTCGGCACCAAGTTCCAGTCTTGCTTTAAAGCATAATGCAACCTATTGGTTCATGATTCACTGCTTAGCAATGAGATAAATGACCCATTCTTTACTGCTATAAACACAGTTTTGACTGCCAACGTTTCCTGCTGGCCTTCCTAATGATTCATTTCTGTCTTGGACATACACCCTTTCTATTTCAAGAGCATCCTTACTACTTTCTAAATATTACAATGCACTATTCTTTGAGTTAATATATAAAAGTAAAGAAAAATACTAATATGCCTTTTGAGTTAAGTTCACTAAGTTAGAGGATACTTTATAGATGATGGAAATGTTTGTTTTTTATTTTCAATAAACTTGTCAGGACTCCACCAGAATCTCCATGAGATGCTCCAACTCAAATCCTTCTCTAGCTTGGTTCTGAGTGGAGAAGGATGCCGATTCTGGCGAGGGGGGGGAAGGTAGTGGACTAAAGGATGAGAATGAAGGTAAACACTTCAAATTTGAGTTGAGAGAAAGTGAGAAAGGGTGGGGAGATGAAGGAGAAAAAGGTGGCAAATAGCAAATCAGTTCCTCTTCAGCTGGGTATCCAACTCGGCTGCTACGGATCCCCGTCCCTCCCATGTCCCTCTCCAGCAGAGATGCCTCCACATCCTGGAACAGATCTTCCATGGTGACATCGTTCAGGTAGCTGGACTTTGCTGCCTCTGCGCTGTTTTCCTGCGCCTTTTCCTCTCCCTGCTGCTCCCAGCTCGCACCCCCAGCTCTGGTTCCTTGTTTTAACCCGGCTGAACCTCTCTCAGAGGGACCCGAGATGTTCTCCAAGGACCTGAGGGGTGTCCGTTGCGCTGCCTGAGTGCTACCATCAATGGTAGAGTCCAATGCAGTCAGAATGGAGGAAATGGCCGCTGAAAGGGAGAAGTCAGAATCTGTAGACATGGATCCCCAGTCCTCATCGTCGGTTCCTGCTGCCGTAGTAACGCCTGATTCGCCTGAATGGCGGCAGTCTAAAGAAGCCACAGGCTCACAGGCCATTAATGCAGCGTTAGGCTTTGACCGAGAGAAAATACTTTCTCGCTCTATTGCCACCAGTCTACTCGAAGGGTCGGAGGAGGGCCGCTCCTCGTCCCTGTCCTCACAGGCCAACCCGCTTTTCTCAAGGGTGATCTGCCGCAGCGTGTTTGCTATCAGAACAGACCGACGCAGGCTGGGCTCAGGCAGCTCCTGGCTGCGTTGATACTTGTTCAGAGACACGGAGAAGACAAACTGTCGCTGGCTCTCCCACATGGGGCTCCTCGGGTCCGAGACCTCCACGTCCTCTAGATCGAGTTTCCGTTTCTGCCCTTTCAGAATCATCTTCCAGCTGCGGAGGAGAGCAGGATATGTTAATTTGTGAACTTTGAAAACAATTTTACATTTTAAATCTGAACAAAGCAGAGTGTTCTGTGGCGTCTTTTCAGTTGGATTGAAACAAATAGACATAAAATCTAAAAGCATAACCTGAATGAGAGTCTTCTACACTGATCGCAGCAGGGTTGTTTAAATATAGTCATTAGTGCAGAACCCTGGCATGTTTTAGATTAAGGGTGAACCCAGGTTTCTATAGTTTAACAAATAGGCCTGAATGATTTTGCAAAAATAAATAAAACTTTTTATTATTTTTAACCAACATTGCAATTTTATTTCATTTCTTATTTGCACCAACCCCAAGCTTGTAGATGTTTCAGCCCAAGCTTTCAGTTTTGGAAACATTGCTTAGGCAGGACTTTAAAATAACCTTTTTAGGAAAAGGTGTTTATTTCTACTTGCATGCATGGATCTGCAGGTAAGCTGCAACTCTGTGTGTTTAAGAGTTTACCACAACCTAAAAAGCTGGAGGGAGAACTTTAGTGTCTTAGTCCCTTTAAATAAAATGCACCTAACATTGAAAGTCTCTGCAATTCAAAGGTACTTATTAGTGTCTTTCACCAATAAATAATTGAAATATTCATGGTGCCTTATGATCTTATAACAAGTGACAGTATCAGTTATAAAATATACATATATTTCGGTCAGTCGGCATGAGAGGCTTTTTGAAGATGGGGAAATCAGCCAGAGACCTGCAATCATCCATCCATTTTCAGACAGGCTTAATCCCAAGTGGGGTCACGAGGGGTGCTGGTGTCTATCTCCAACTGTCTACGGGCGAGAGGCGGGGTACACCCTGGACAGGTCGTCAGTCCGTCGCAGGGCGACCTGCAATCAGTGCACCCCTATTTTAGATGCGTCCCTGCTCTGATCACACTGATTCACAAGCCTGAATTGGTTGTGCAGGAGTGTAATAATATGTCTGAGGCAGGTGTATTTAACCAGGAAAACACACGAACCCAGCTTCTTTTAACATTGTACATTTACAGGTGTCTGCTTCTTTCTCCCCTTCGAAAGAAAATGGTTTGAAATACATAAAACCCTTATTCCAATGTTGAAAAAACTGAGTGAGTGGGTCTCATTTTCCTTAAAATATAAAAAATACCTTAAATTTATTGTTACAGCATAAATTGTAGCAAATTACCAGCAAATGTTCTTTTTTTTTTTTTATTTACCTAGTTTGTAAGCCTTAATATTTCCAGAGTACTCCTTTATTTTTTTTTTTATTTTTTTGGATACTTCAGACATTTGAAGAAATATTTCCACCTAGTTGTTCTTTATCATGTTTTCCCCTCCAAAAACCAGTAACCAACAGAGCTAATATCCAGATTCTGCAATGTGGCTTTTTTTGTGTGTGTTAATGGAATCAATCAATATATTAATGGAACCAGACAGGGGATAAACAGAGACTGTGTAAATCACTGAAAATATAGAGATTTTGCAGATATTTAACTGTTAGTATTAGGGCTGGACATTTATCATATTACTTATTTTAAAAATGGAAGAATTTAGAATCATCAAAACATGAAGATTGCTCACTCCTAGAACAAGCAGAATTACAAAACTATTTTTCTCTACTGGTTTCAAGAACCTAGAGCTATTCTATGTTATTAGATTAAAAAAACAAAGTAAGTAAATTCTATTAGTATTTTTATAACAAAAACCTGTGATGGTGGTAGATTAATGACAAAATAAAATCATCACTAAGCTGGAAAAACACTAAAATGAACGTTATCTTAATATAAATAAAAGCAAAACCTGTTATTTTCTTACAATGGTCTTTTGGAAACTTCAGTTCCTTTCAGTTTTTATAAGGACTTGGAAATAAATTTCAATAAGTTTAAAGACAAAGTAAAAAACCCTGTTGTGACCAGAAAAAACAGGCTGGTCCCAACTCAGATAAACAGACTAAAATAGTAGAAAAAGTTTTTTAAAAACTATAGTTAACTATCTTGTTTAATTTCGTCCAGTACCCCAATCATCATTCTTAGAAGGTTAGTACTGATTTCAACGAAGTTTTAACCCAACTAGACTTGAACGTTAGGTGAAAAAGTACCAAGTAAATTAAAAACATTTTAATAACTTTGATTAAAAGAGTAAAAAGATGAAATGAACCGTTGCCAGTCAGAGGCGCCTCTGACCGGAGGGTTGGTTTTTAAACAGAGGATGGGGGGTTGCTGCTTTAACGTTTAGTTTCATCGAGTGGGAGGGAAAAAAAAAACGACCGATACAGAGTAAAAGCTAGAAAATAACCGGTCAAACTAAAATAAACCCAGCAGTCCTGAAAATTTTACCTTTTTAACAAGCCAGAAAAGCACATATTGTGACGTTAGCTTTTTTAAAAGACAGTTTAAACCGACCTGTTAAGTTGTTCACTCCTCCTCGGCGAGTTTCGTCGCAGTCTTTTAAGTTGAAATCCTCACTTCACCAATAATACAAACAAACCTTTAAACTTTCTTGAACCGATATAACCAGAAGTTAATAAAAGAGAATAAATGCCGTATTCGGTAACATCAGAGGGAGCTCGCGGTGCTGGTGGCTAACGATAAGCTCCCGCCAGTGATTTGAGTTTCACGCCAGTCGCTTTACATTCAGAGTCGAGAGGTCGAACGGCATTCTGGGTAATGGAGTCCACTTGCGCAACATTCCATCACACGGCTCTTCCATTGCGAAACACACGAATAAAACAAGCTGTATGTAACTTTGAGAATATCATCATAAGAGCAAATTAAAATATGAAGTAAAAACGCGTCCGTTCTAATTAAAACAGTAGGTATTATATAATTTGCATAGCACTAATTCCTGAATGATTACATCACCTCACAAACCAGACATTTCCGTTTGAGTTCAGTATAAAACACCAAAGAAAGCATTACCTTATGTGGTTAGTTAACGTAAGCACCAAAATATCCATACAAAAAACAAAGGTTAAAAATAAATAAATAAGTTGTATAGTTTTAGGTTTTTCTTTTTTGAAAAAGTAAAAGCGGAGTTGTCCACGTCCACAGTAAAGATCATTTTAAATGAAGGGGAGTTGTATAAAGCGGTAGTTGAATAGAAGTAGAAGTTACCCGAAAGCTGTGGCCCATACGTAGAAAAACGGAGAGGAAAAACAGCATGAATCTCACAGGAGCGATGTGTCAGAGTTTCTAGTTTCAGTTTTATTCGCTTAGACATCCAGCTGAAAGAAGCTCCAGTGAGTTAAAAAAAAAAACAAAAAAAAAACAGGGCTCCTCCTCCGCACTACAAAGCCTATAGATTGGCCCATACAGGAAAATAATGAATTTATCAGCAAATTTACTTCCGGTTTAACTCTTTCAAAATAAAGCATTGCATAAATAAGTCCCTGTTTCAGTAAAATGCCTGAGTTACTGTATTTAATCTCTTTGCAATCGCATAGGTGGTGATTTTAAACGTTTTAATAAATCATTGAACTCAACACTCTCTAGTAGAAATTATAAATAAATATTCTTAGCGATAAATATCAGCCTTAAACATTAAACTTAAGTATTTTTTTCCCTAAGGATAAAATACGGATGGGAAATCTGAATAAACCTGTAAAATCGAGTAACTGTCTCTCTGAAATCAAAGACAAATTCAATTATTTTTAGAAAACTTTTATTTTGAAACTGGCTCTTATTGTGAAAATAACTCCTGAAGTTTTTCTTTGCTATATATTTTTTTGCCTGAATATATAGAGGCAAAAAATGTCAAAGTTTTCCAACATTTTAATGTGAATTATGTTTGATAAAATAGTAACATTATAATTAAGTGACATATTTAAACAAACACCTAAAAAAACGTAGAAAGCAAAACACAGGAAATATTCAATAATTATTCAAGGGTTTAGAAGATTTAAAAGGGATAAGTCAATATCACACAAGTAAAAATAAAAAGTTCCAATATTTCTGTGAAGCTTTAGAATAATCTGAATGTAAAGCTCAATGTACATAGAATTGTTTAAAAGAAGTATAAAAAGATGGTTATAACTAAACTATCATTATTAGTTCTAACCTTTAACATTATTGTACTGCTGTATTAAGACAATAGTTTTAGTATTTCCCTTAATGTGTAGTAAATATGTATATATATTGAGTTTCCTTTCTCTGAAATTAGTAAAAAAAAAAATATATGATGTTTTTTCCACAGTGTTCAATTTCTTTAGATGTAGCTGAATAATTTTGATTTGTGTGAATTGAAATAAAGATAAAACTAGATGAAAACTATCACTTAATTCTTTCCAATCAGTCCATCTCTAAAATGCAAAAGCATGCCAATAATGCCCTTTTTGAGTGGATGTAAACATTTTATTGCAGCTGTATGTATATTCACTGTAATAGATACAAAATAGAGTAAAGATGTTTATTATTCACCAGCTATAAACTTGATCCAGACCAGGAAAAACAGGAAAAATTATTGCATGTAATAAAGTTTGGATATCAGATAAAATCCGAAAAAACTATCAAAGGAGAAGACAAAATAATTACTTCTTTATAAATGCCCTGCAAATAAAAGAAAGAAAGAGAATAGAATAGAACAAAAGAAAATAAAGACTTCAAGAATTTTCTTGTAATTCACCAAAAAATTATTTATTAGTTTGAAATAGAACCCAAAATGTCCCTTCATTCATGTGTCGATGTTCCCTTTTCTTTTTGGTTATACATAGACAAAAAATAAATGGAAGCATCTTCATTATTTGTACTCTCCACAGACTCCCACAGTCTTTCCATCCCACTCTGATGTGGACAGACACTTGACAAAGAAGTGTCCCAGATCGTGCTTGGAGATGGCTCGTCCTTTCAGCATATTTTCTGTCACCACGTAGCGCTCAGTCAGAGGAAGGTCACCTGCAGAATGGGAAACCCGAACAGCAAATTACATTCGGAAAAATCTGAGCAAGTTTCATCTCAGTCATTATGAAAAAAAAAGCTTCCCTCCCTGAAAGAAAACTCTGTTATGGATCAGTACTTTTTGCCTAATTTTCCACTGACCAGCAATGTGAGGAGGCATAACAGCCACATAGTCGAGCCCAGATGTTTTCAGCACTGTGTACATGCGATCGTGATCCTCCGTCACTGGAATCAGACGAGGCGGGACTTTGGAGCGAGCCCACAGGAGGAAAGCTGGAAGGATAATGAATAAATCAAGGTGATGAGAAATTAACCATAGCCTGTTGAAATGTTTGCATTAAAAAAAGAACAAAATATATACTTTTTTTCTTGTCTGTTTCTATTCTTTTTAAATGTGAATGGGAAAGTACTGTAAGTCCACACACTGCTACACCAGTAAAAGAAACATGAAGACAGATCATTAATAAAAAGTGAGATCCACCTCATAATCTAGTTTTTATTTAAATTCACCCACATCAACAGGATAACTGCCTCGTTATGTCCCATGTTGTGATACCTGACATGCAGCCAATCACTTTACGGATCCCTCGTGCCTTCATTGCATCCACGATGTTCTTGGTGCCTTCAGACATCATGGTGGTTGGGCCTAATGAGCAAAAACAGTATTTTTTTAATAACAAAAGAGAAAAAAAAGTTGCAAAAACATATATTATTGCAGTTTTAAGGTATAATGACTGTAAATAATAACTTGTTTTGTTTATTTAAGGTCAGACCGGCAGCTATTTAGAACGTTAAGATTAGATAATTTTTATGTTGTAACACGTAAAACATCTATAAATTAATTAAGGTGAAGCTTATTGTATTTAAAACTTAAAAATAATAAATTAAAACTAAGAAAAACAGAGTATAGAGGCATTCTTAGACCAAATATGTCTGGGAAGAGGTCATGTATTTCACCTCGGAATGATTTTGGTAGTATAAAAAAAATGACAACGCTGACCCCTAGTGAGTAAATAGCGGTATTACACCATAAACTGTCTTCCAGTGCAGTGGGATTGTGTTTCAGACACAGAGCTAGGGGAGGAAATAGAATAATATGAACGATCATTGCACACCGTCAATCTTAATAGGAAAATTAGGATTCAGCAGGAAGTGTTTAAGCTGAATAATCAGATAATCAAAAACCTCTAATCACATTATTTTATCATTTTTTGTGAAAAACGATCTCTGATTTTCTTGCCATATTTTGTGTTTTCCTTTTGTCTTCTGAAACATTTTCTATTTTGAGGCTACTCGAATTTGTATTTAGTAAATTCTAAAAAAAAAAAAAAACTAAAAAAAAACAACAAAAAACCCCCCCACAAAAATCACAGTTGGTCAAAAAAGAATAAGTTACAGAAAAACAGGTCTAGGAACCAAATGCCAGAATAATCCAAATTGATACAGCCTAACCTTTTTCAAATAATTTTTTTGTGAAAGTAAAAATAGATTTTCCATGCTGTGTTCTCATTTCAGGATTATAATTGTTCGGATTTATTATAACAGGAATGAAACCTTACTAAGGTCACTCCTGGTTCCCAGGATGATGATGACGGCGTCCTGGCCTTCCAGAGTCTTCTTCACGTCGTCTTTATTTAGGACATCACCCACCACCACTCTGGCAGCCTTGTGGTCAGCAGGTAACTTAGAGGCATCCCTCACCAACACAGTCACGTTGTATCCTGTAGAAAGACAAAGAAAAGTAAGAGCTTAAACCAGAAACTGGGATAAAGTAAAACTAAACACAGAGATTAAGCAATACAATCAGACAGGTGAGTCTGCAGAGATGCACCTCCAAGCATGACACCTTATAGTCAGAGCTACAACAGGGTAGTTAATTAGTTAATGTTTATGTGTTGGGGTGGCCTAGTCAAAGTCCATACCTAAATTATTTGAGGGTCATAGCAAGACTTAAATATTGATCTTGACAGATGCTCCTGATCCAGTCTGTCTCAGTTTAAGCTGGATGTTTAAAACTTCATTTACCTAACTTGAACTGGTACAAAACTGACCTGCAAAAACTCAAGTTTTATCAGTAACATCCCAGCAATCCCACCCTTAGTGTGCAGCCCAGATAGACAACAGCTTACGACCATGACTCAGCAAATCCCTGGTCTGTAACGGCTAAAATGACTCAACAGATTTCTTTTTGAGCAGAAGGAAATGAAAAAGCTGCTGAATAGCACAGCTCACATGACTCATGTTTGTGATTTTACAGCATCCTGTAAAATACTCTTAGACCTTAGAAACTGATTTAACACCTAATCACAATAAAAAAAAAACAGCAGTGAGTTTATAAGATATTAAGTTATTTTTTAGACAAATTATTTAATCAAATCATTGCATGGCATCAGATATAATACATATTTATACATATATATGAAAGGGTTCTGTTTACATAGAACAAAAATTGAAGTGTGAGCCAGATGTCATTTTTTCCCATTATTTTTTATCATTATTTATTTCTGTAATGTAATTTTTCAAAAACTGGACACTGTAATTTTAAGTGATAAACATTTTAACATGCATTTTTACATGATTAACATGCACCTTTTTCTTCCTTTGGCAGTCTTTTTTTTAACTATTTGAGCTGATGCAACAAGTAAATTTCTCCACTGTGTCAATCAATCAATCAATCAATCAATCAATCAATCAATCAATCAATCAATCAATCAATCAATCAATCAATTTAACTAGTGAAAGTACTGCAGGAACCTGAAGATTGTAATAGTATAAAAAGTGGCAATATCAATGGTGTGTAGCGGAAAATCTAACATTCTAAAAAAAAATCTTTGTTTTTGTTAAGGGAACAATTCTTCATATATTGTCAAGTGAGGTAAAAAAAAAAAAAAAGATGCAGACATTTCAGATCAAGAATCTATAGTCATAATCTAATTTTAGACCTAAATAAAACTTTTAGTACATGTTGCAGACTCTAGTTGCATAGAAAATAAGCAAATAGAAGTAAAAAATCTTAGTGAAAATATAATAACCCGCAGAAGACCTCATTAGAAAATATTAAAATATAAAATATGAAACGAGATTTCTTTTAACGCAGGTTTACTACCTACTCAAAAGTAAACTAAATAAAAACAAATGCATTTAATTGGAGAAAGACACTAAAATCCCTTCAGTCTGTTAAATAAACATCCTTACGTCACACCTGCGTCGCTGCTCACCTGCAGCCACCGCTATGGGCAGCGTGGCCAGCCCGGTCATTCCCGTTGCTCCAAATATCGCGATGTTCTTGATGGACTCCGACATGATTAGAACTGGACGAGAACCACTGTACTTGCTGCAGTCTGATCTCTGGAAGTGTGTCAAAGTATCAGCGGACAGTCGAAGAAACGCATTTTATAGAAGCTTCCGCAGCGCTGACTCCTCCTCCCATCAGATTTAAAGGAACCCTGCTCCTTTTACTTTATTATAAAGATATAATCATGTTATAGCAGTTGACTGACCTGGTGGCCCTCTGAGCAATGGTCCTCTGCATGAGAAATATTTCTGAGCTGTTTCAATGAAGCTGCTCTAGCGAGGCCCCAAAACCTTTATAAATACTTTGCTTTTACCTCGCATCTAATTTCTAAAATTACTTGTTTATTTAGAAAGTAGATAAGATTTGTCATACACTCTTGGTTAAAAGTTAGTCTGTGCACATCTGCTTTGAGTTTGGCTTTAAACATAGACCTAAAAAATTATAATGAAAATTATAATCCTAATTGCAATAAATAAGTTACTTAGTCCGTTGTAATGACTTACTTATTGCATTAATAGGAGATTTGTTTTTCTACCTTTTGCAACGGGACACTTATTGTCTTCAGAGGTGTACTTAAGTAGGCTACACTTTTTAGGTATCTATACTTTACTCCATTACTTATTTTTCTTCCTACATCTAACTTCTACTTATTCCATTTTCACACAAGTATCTGTACTTTCTATTCCTTACATTTTTAAAACAAACGTTGCTCGTTACTCTTGGCTTCTTTTTAATGTTTATAAATATTTATTTCACGTCATGTCTGCCATCCAATGCAGATCATTGGCTCCATCCATATCTAGTGAAAACTAGTGTAATAGGATGTGTCATATAATGCAAACACTCATTGGTTAGCTAAAGGAAATCATCAGAAGCAAGCAGGTGTTCTTCAAACTGTAAACGTGAATTGTCTATGCCATGCTACAATGCTGGATTCAGAAAAAGATGCTGTAATGTCTGAAAGGTCGGACACAGGCGAGAGCGTATCAGGAGATGGAGACCAACTAGACCTCCCTAATCCTTGGCCCTATCTTGAAGAATTTTTCCAAATAGTTGAAAAATTTAGCTTTCAATTCATATAGTGGCATCTGGCTGCTTTTTTTAAAGGTTACTTTATACTTTTATACATTAAGTAGTTTTGGAGCACATATTTTTTCACTTTTACTTGAGTAAAGAGGTCAAGTTGATACTTCAACCTTTACCAGGGTGTTTTTAAACTGCAGTATCTATACTTCTACTTACTCGTAAGTAACAAAATGTGTGTACTTTTGACACCACTGTTTGTCCTATTCAAAAATATAAGATATCAGTTATCCGACTACCTTTTTTCTTTTCTGAAATAAATGTGTCTTTACATAAAACATTGGCAAAGGTGTTTATTATGTTATATCATGTTATAGTTATTTAGTTCAGTCAGTTATTTACCCCAATTTGAGTTTTTCTTTCCTTCTCCAGGATAATAAGTTGGTGATCTTGTTTTGTCAGCTTTGTGAAATGTTGATCTCTAACAAAATTTTAAACTTTTTAGATAATTTTCCTTAGTTTTAACTATATATCAAAGTAATAGTTATTTTTTCCCTCACTATTTAAAACGTATTGTGTGAAAGAAATTGTACTGTATCCATCACAACGATCTTATATTGACTTACAGTCATTTATCTATTGTGATGGTATGTAAATATTATCCCGAGAAACAAGTAAGTAATTTATGTCTTTATGATAGAAGGAAATCTTAAATAGAATTGATTATATTGTCATTTGTTTATAAAATGAAAAACTGATTATTTTTGTAGTTTTTGTCTACAGCCAGAAAAGTTTATTTATAAAGCAATTTTCAGTGACAAGTGCTGTGCATGAAAAAAAAAAGAAAAGTGCATTGCATTTGCATAGAGGGGGCACAAAATAATTATAGAGAATAAAAGTGAATCATTAAAATTAGACAATTATATATAGAAAAGAATATACAATTATAATGTTTAGATAGCACAGCCAAAACCCTCACTAAACAAATGTTTTTTTCTTGACTTAAAGCAAATGAGGGTTTAACAAAAACCCCTTCTGTGCTTTTACAGTTTCCTGGGAGTTTATTCCATATTAGTGGAGCATAAGAAGTAAATATCTTCTGCTCCTTGATTGGTTCTGCAGAGTAGATTTGAGACAGAAGACCTGTAAGGTGTGGGTGGTAAATCCACTGACAGCAAGTCATCTCTGTATTTTAGAGCTAACCCATTCACTGTTTCAAAGGCCAACAGAAGCATTTTAAAGTCTATTCTCTGAGAGACGGGGAGCTAGAAGGGACATTTCCATCAGCTTTCTTTTTGCTATAGCAAGTTTTAAAGTATTGCATCAGAAAATCAAAAGAAAATAACTCCCTCAAATTCACAAAAATGTTTTTATGCTGAATTGAGGGGGTTTTGGCTATTGCAAAAAAGGGTTGAAGCGCATCAGTTCTGACATAGCAAACTTTTTCCTCACATGACTTACAGACTGTTTCCACTGTCTGCGTCTTCCAGGATGTTTCTGTTGTGCACTTAAACATTTCAGGTGCTCAAACATGGCTGAAAGCAGCACGGCCACTACTTAATGACATTTTAACATGAGAACAATTTGCCTGATAGCAAAGCATTCATTATAACTTTTCTCCATTACCTATTTGTGGTCCATGCTGGATCATAGCTTCTGCTTCCTGTCATTACAGCCATTCTTGATGATGTAATGTGGACTGCAGCAAATTATGGTATTATTGTTTGTGTCACTTTGTTGATTAGCTTCAAACCAAATGGAAACACCGCAAATTTGTATTTCCCTTTTTGTTCAAACTTTTATTAATTTGCTTAAAATTCACAATTCATTTTGTTGGAAACATGACTGATGTAATGACTTTAAAAATGGGGTGATGAGCTCAACTTCACTGTTTCCCAATTTTTTTCTCCTCTACCACTTTGAACATTTTTTCATCCCATTAGTACCCCTCTAATCAACAACATTGATGATTGTCCGACAGTGGTCATACAATACCTAGTTTCTGTCATGATTGGTTCACTGGTGTGACCCAATAATGCAGAACACCATGGAGACGGAAACTGAAGTAAAAGGTTTAACAGAGTTTATTGTCACAAGCACAGAGAGAATGACTGGTTCTGGTTCAGGCCTGGGAAACTGGTTCACCGGAGTCTGCGTGAGAGACAGTTCAGTTAGTGTTGCGCAGAGGAGTTTGATTCTTGACAGTTTCAGATTTGTACCTTGAGGGTTCTTGGTTTAAG